GAGCAAAAAATATCTTAAAGTGGCATTTAAAACTGAACCTGTGCAAGAAGATAACTTAGCCAGTGCTCAGTGCTCTGCTGATCTGGTTTAGTTCGATGCAGTACCAGTTTGCATTCTTATCAAGCAAGGTGTCACCCACTGATCTGTGTTTGGACTGCTATAGAGGCACCACAGTCATCTACAGAGGACAGGCTAATCCCTTTATGTTGTTAACCCACTCTCTGCTTTCTTCCAAAATGCCAGCAGCTAATCCACATGTTGGCATTAGTAGTACAGTTGGGATCATAAGGCTTATCCCCATTAACTTGGGCCCATAAGTCAAAAATTCAACCCAGTGAGTGGGAACAGGGAACACATTTTGTCTTTCAATCAAATTGCATGGAGGCAGAATAATATGAAAACTATGTTTCTGTGATCTTTTTCCAATCTTTTTATCCCTCCTTGGAAACTTTATAATATAGCCTTTAGCCTGTTTGTCAGAATAACATTTAATACATGTTAGTGAGACGAAAATGTCACCAAATGTGTTTTTTTTTTTTCAAATAGCTGTTAAGTCCAACATCTGGACACTAATTTACCCCTTCTGCAGGAAATGTTCCAATGCATCATTACACCAAGTCATCGCATCACTTCCTGTTGACACACTCCAAATGTGACATATGGAAACTATTAAAATGTGGAAATGAGGAGCGGGAGACAAAGTATGGGCAAAACTTTTGGAGAAGGCTAAAATAAAACTGTTTCCCATATTACCCTGCACATGTGCACTCGGGGGGTCAACAGAGCATGGAGAATAAATTCCTTTATAACAGCAGGGCAGAAAGAGTACATTCATGCTAGTCAAAAAGCAGAATGCACTACAGATAACATCTCCAAAGGCCCTAGACATGCATGTGCATGCAGCCACTCACATACAATCTCTCTCTTCTGTTTATCACACAGTTTCCTTATACTGTACATCTAGTGCTGGAGCCGCCAGCTTACCTGACCATAAGCCATCTGCACCAATTTAGCAATTTGCATTAAGTGTTGTAGAAAAAGGTTTGGGTTAGTCTGAGCCTCCTAATCCTTAGCCATCACAGACCATGGGTGGTCTCTCTCTCGCTCTCACACACACACACACACACACACATATACTGTGTCTGCAATGCAGTAGGGGGACTGGGGCTGGAGGGTGGCAGTTTGGTTGAGGGGAGGAATGGTGGACTGCTAATCTCTGACTAACTCATTCACACAGAAAATCATGCACACAGCCACACATAGTGCATGGTCAATTACTGAAAACCTAAACATTATTTATTTTTCAGTATTGAACCTAAATGCTTTTAAATATTTAAAAAATGTAAAGTCCTTAGTGAAATGGAAATGATTTGTGGGAAAAACCAATGCTTTTGTCTACAGTAATGACCCTACAGTGGTTAACCACTTATAAGAATGCAGACACACATGCTTGTAATCCAGAACACACACACACACACACATACAGGCATGCACACGTGGAAAGCTAACAAATACCAGGGCCCCAGTGCTCCCACACGTGTACTTCCAGCAAATTTATGGCAGTAAATGAGGCAGCTGAGTCTTGTGGCTCTGTAACCTACAACTCCCCAGTGGACACCTGACATGGGTTGGACAACCAGCACTGTGGCATGCCAGGGGGGAGCACAGGCAAACTAAAAAAATATGTAACCACAGTGCTGTGGTACCTTACTGGTACCCATCCATTCACATTCTTGTTAGGCTCTGTGGTTGTTCACTAAGATTTATTCAACTCTAATTGCTATTTTGAGGGAAACATGGCAATGTGTGAAGGTGAGAGCTACACTGTGTCTAAATGACTTCATGGGTCAGTGACAGGAACCTCTGGTGTGGTGTTTACACAATAGGAATGTGCACACTGGTGAACTGAAATGGCTTGTTAGTGCTAAGCAGAGAACAGACCTCCCATACTGATTCTAATTTTCAGGGCTGTACTTTCTGTGAGCAGATACAGAAAGATATGAATATATGTTTTATAACTCCGTTGTGGTCCATTATAAAACATGAAATCCACATATGGATGCACACCTTTGATACTATAAAGTTAATGTTTCACAGCAGAATTAAAAGATAAGGCTGGTGTTATTCTATGTTTTTATGACTATCAACAAATCCCACAAAAGGTTACAGTATGCATTCAGTTAGGCATTTATGGCAGCAAGGACAGTGTATGTGGAATGTGCTCAAAATAATTTACAGTATCCATATTCTTTGAAATGAAGGGTCATTTTTTAAATGTTTTTGGATAAAATAAAAATCTATGGCACAGGAATAACGTATTTCATGCTTACATAATCAATACTGTCTTGTTAGGATCAATTAAGTGTTTTTTTCTTATGATTTGTTGTTCTTATGATATCTTTTAATTAAAAGTTGTAAAAAAACACTGTAACCTCTGTCCCTGTTGACCAGCAGATACGGTTTTATAAACCTCAGTCATCCTAGCTGAGTCTTACACCATTTGCCGATTTTTGCACATCAATGCAGTGATGACACTGTTTTGACTGGAAAAGCAGAACTAATATTACTTGAGTCCAACAGCTGAAACAGCACTGAGTATAGAGCTATTTCTGAGTTCACCTCAGTGATGTTATCCTGTTTGTACATGTGATTTAACGGCAGTGGAGTGAGTCGGAGTCTTTGGCTGACGCTTTTCCTCTACGTTTTTTTAAGGGTACTAATCAGCAATAAATTGTAAAGCTGTTTGTCCACAGAGGGAATTTTACCCACTATGTGTCTGAAACCTGACCCATGGAGTGATTAGGTGTTGGTTTTCCACACATAATATGCACAACCACACGCATAAACACAAAATCATGTTTAAACACTTAGTGGGTGTAAGCATATACAGTATACAAACAAACCTCAGGAGATGTAGCACCAGTGATGGACTTGTGTGAATTTTAGGCAATGTATGCACGGACAATTTATCTGCTGGCTTCTAAAAAATGTGAGTGAGACAGACTGGGACCGAAACAACACTTTATCCAGTGTTCATCAGCTGACACCATAGCAAAAACAAACTTTATGAGAACAGGCATTGTATTTGCTCTCACTAGATTGTGTCATGCTTGTGGTGGTTCATCAAAAGCTGCCTTGATAGTTGAGAAGCAAAGTGCCTGTAGTCACATATTTTGCTTTTTAATGATTCATTCTGTTTCTGAACGCTCCACAGTCTGATTATGTACAAGTCAAAATGCAAAAAAGTGGAAGTCATGCTCTTTCTTATCTTTTCTGCTTATCGCTCCTGCAAAATGAATCAAAGGAGAAATCCCCAAGAAATATAGATACAGATCCAAGTTCATATGTTACACAAGAAGATCTGTTAAGCAGTATGCTACAGTAAAGTTGTTTTCCCAACTGAGATGTGATGCAGAAAGGATAAGGGTGAAACTAGAAGTGCAAGACATGTTCTCAGAAAGAAGATACAAGAATAAGGCAGGTTGGACATGTACTTTAAGGGAAAAGTGGAATGTTCAGGTTCATTAAAGCAAACTTCTCCATAGCGTTGTTATATTCAGTGGTGGGGTGTATAGGACAGCGTGATACAGATGAAAATTTTAAAAAGAAAAGAAAATACCTGATTGACCAAAAAAAAAGAAAGAAAGCTCTAAAGCTAAAAATGGCACGCTGTAGTGTTTTATATGGAGTTATGTGCCTTCCTGGAGTCTTTTTGTCACCGTGGAGTTGCCAGGCAACCAGCTAAGGCTAGTTTGGCACACAACTCTCCATAAAATTCATGTTTAAATGAGTGAACCTAAATGGTGTATTGAGGATTTGTTATCTTTGGACAGAGGTGGACTAGCTGTTCCCCCTGTTTGAACTAATGGTAAGCTAACTGGCTGCTGCCTATTTACTGCACGGACGTTAGAGCGGTATTAATCTTTTCATCTCTTTAAGGAAAGTGAAAAAGCATATTTTTCCAGATGACAAACTATTCCTTGAAGATAATATTCAATGTGGTTTTGTGCTGAATCAGCTTTGTAAGTATGTACAAAAGGGTAAAAAGGTTTTAAATTAGTAACAGCACTTTAATTAGGCCTGAGGGGGAAAAATAAGCATGGAGGAGGAGAGCATTAATCTGAATAGAAATATCAGAAGTTGATATTTACTCTTTAGAAGGCGCTGTGGACAAAGTGGATAAATTGTTCAGATAGATCTTGTCCTCAGCCCTGCGATGGATTGGCGACCTGTCCAGGGTGTACCCCGCCTTCACCCGATTGCCGGCTGGGATTGGCTCCAGCCCCCCCCCGTGACCCCGTTCAGGGACTAAGTGGTGGAAAATGGATGGATGGATGGATCTTTCCCTCCTCACTCTGTCTGATCCGTTCCATGGTAATGTGGATTAAAACAGGTCAGGGTGGAGGTCAGCCAAGGAACCTGAGGTCAAAGGTCAGAGACAAAAAGACCTCTGCATTCCAAATGACTGCTGCCCTCTCTCTCTTTCTCTCTCTCTCTCTCTCACACACACACACACACACACACACTTTTTACCTCCAGAAATTCTATGTTGAGTAGTGTTTTCTAAAATGCACAACAAAGCCAAAGAAGGAAATATTACAGAAAGATAAGAATCTGCTACAGCTCCATAATGTGAAGTCAGTCCAGACTATCTACATGAACGTTGAATCAACACTGAGTCAGGGCAGAGTTTGCTATGTGCTTGGATTTGATGATGCATTTGCTCACTAGTCTCTGGTGGGTTTGTTATCTGTTGTGACCATTTATTTTGATATGATGTTGTAGCAATGACATTTGAATAATGAATAATGAATAAATGTGGTTACTGATATTTTCCTTTTAACGGTTTCTTCACACCAACATATTGTTAAATGCTTATTTAGGAATGCTAAAGGGTACCTTTAAGATAGACCATAGGCTTTTATGCATAGCATCAAATGTCATGAAAATGGGTCATAACAAAGCTATCACAACTATAATCTTTGTTCTTTTTTCCCCAGAGCACCTCTACCCTTCCTGAGAAACAACAAGCTGGTGAGTCTGCTCTTTTTCCTTTTTCATGTGCTCAGTTCACTTACAGATTATAGCTGGCTATGAGCCTCATGACACTTGAAGTGATAGCATTAGCATGTCTGTTTTTTCCTTCACCTTTTGTCATAGGTGAGTTAGAAAAAACTGCTGGAACACATTGACCTGATCATGATCTGGTGGGCTGGTGCCATGTGAAACCAGTTCTGCAGTACAATTTCTGATTTATAGCTTCATCTAGTGTTCACTGCATGGGGCAAGACAGGAAGCAGGGAGGGAGTGATTCAGTGGAGAACAGGCTCTGGTGCTGTGAGACACTGGATGTGAGTCTAGATATGGACTTAGACTCATCTTCTAAACCACCAAGCTTGTCACATTTCCAAGATAAGAGCCAGACTGAATGTCGGGTCCAATGGCAAAACCACACTGATAGTTATTTAACTTTTAACCTTATCTCTCATTGACCTTTGTTGTGTATCTTTAGGACCAGAAAAGTAATCCAGTATTTAAAGCAATTGAGAATAAATAGCCAAGTCCCTAGAATATGTGAGTCCATCCATATACTGTATATGCCCTTACACACAAACATTTATGTGACAAGTCTCAGTTATAGGCCTACAGTTATCAGTCCTCATGACTGCCTTATAATACCCATTTCTGAATTGGCATGTTATGTAATTAGTTTGCAGTGCTTGCTTGCTGTCATTCACTTTGCATGCTTAATTATGAATCAATCTTAAGAGAAGACTCAATCTGTAATGAGTGCTTCCTTCATGCTGGCTCCGACCTCTCTGTCAGCAGTCTGCAGTCTGTAATGCACAGGGTCATCAGGAAACTATGGATGGACAAACCTACTCTCAGACAGCCGGCAGGGGAGCAGTGTTCATTAAACACCCCCCTGTGTCGTCAGTCTGCTGATAAACAATACCAGAGAGGTGGTTTGACGTGGGGACGAGGCCTTTATATTGCCCACTGCTGTGTCAAAGCCTGCTGGGAGTCCTCACTCACTCTCACCTTGTCTCTCCTTCTAATTACTGCCACTTGCTGAAAACCTTTCATGTAAAAAATGCAGAAGCTGTCAATACGTGCGCTCGTGTGTGTGTGTGTGTGTGTTAAAGCCCTTTAATAACAAGGAAAGGCCATTTTACAAGGAGACTACAGCTTGCAAAAATGCACACTGACAACTTGAAAAGGGGTCAAACATCCTTGATCATTTTTGCTAATTCAAATCAGTCTGACTTCATATACGCAAATTGAGGCAGCCCCATGCTACAGGATAATTAGCCTGATTTCAGGCCCCGACAATCGTGGGGGTGCTCCCTGATGTCAGGCCACTCAGAAGTGATTCTTGAGCCAAATGATTCTGTAGTGTGAGGTGGTGAATGGCCTTCATCAGGATCGGAGGGCCCTCGATCTTGAACTGTAAGTATCAGGGATGTTTGACATTTATTTACAACTTGGAATCCTGTAGTGTGGGGGCAACAGTGATTGAATCCTGACCAGACACCTGCATCAGCCAATGACAGCAAGCTGGCCAGGAAGCGTCACCACCGCTTGTAGCATTAGTTTGCACTAGCCTCCTTGTTTCTTTATTTTCAACTCACCCCCAGCTCGTGCTGCAAAATGTGTAAGCCATGTTGATTTTGTCTTCTCAGCCAAGACTTCAGTTTTTCTGGCTCTTTTTTAATCTGTACAAAACATATTACACATGAGTGCTACTGCTTGACGATAAATGTCCCCCTCCATGTTTGTTTTGCTCTGAAATCATGTTCGATCACACAAGTTTGTGTGAGATCCCTGGTCCCGGAATCGGAGTCTAAATCATTTCAGTAAAAACTGAGGTGTTGTCCTGCCTCTTACTCTTAAGATAAAAATGTGAAAAAATCTGTTAAAGCTGTTGTTATGTCTGTGGTTTTTCAGTTTTTAAAAATTGGTTAAGATTATAAAATCCTCTAGTGCGGGGCAACATCTCTTTGTCTGTGTGATGGAACTCAGGACTCTGGAGGAAGTGTTGGGGAACTCGACTGAGCACAAAGCCCAGTGTTCATTGTGACACCTCAAAGCCCCCTCTGTGTCTTCCCCATTTAAGTCCCTGGGAATGACACATTAGTGACAGTGTTACATCGCATGTCATGCCCTAAAGGCTCCTGCTGCACTGCCATGACAGACAGCTCATTCATGGTTAATTTTACTACCTTTGTGACAACAGAAACATACCAGTGGTCAACAAGAATTTTCAACAGCCCATGTTTTGTGATGGCACATTTGATGGTCTTTTATGTTTTGTAAAGAACAAGCATGTCACTCAGTGCGGCGGTGTGTTTCGCTGATGTGCTTTTGAACATTTTTGAACAATGGAGATCTATGGCACAGACAAATGAACTGATCCAGGTTGGAAACATTAACCATGAGTAGATGCAATTCATTGTTGGTTTTAGTCTCTGGATGGGGATCACTGAAAATACCATTAATATAGAAAATGGCTGCCCTCATCATTTAACATACACCAGCTCAGTGACTAACAGTCTTATACAGATTGTTAACAGTGATTTTGACAGAACGTGACACTTGTTTTGCACAAGCCACAGGAAGTGATTTACATCAATATGTCAACATTTTAATCTACAGTATATACACAGAAGAATGCAGACAACTGAATGTAGAGTGAATTGGTCTCTCTCTCTCTCTTATCTGTATTTGAGCTTATTAACACCAGATTTTATAGATTTCTGGTTGTAAGCATGGTTTTTCCTTAATTGTAGTTGAGGTTCAGTGTAACATGCCGAGCCTTCCTGATCTAAGTATAAACTTGTGGAAATATATAAGCAGAACACAATGATGAGCATCCAACCAACAACAGCATTAAAGCCTGACCTTTTACATGGACTTGCAGCCTTATAGTCCAAAGCACTTGCCTCAGTTTTAGGTGGAGGAAAGGAAAACTGAGGAAAGTGGCGATGGTTTGGTGCCCTCAGTGGGGTGGGAGGGGCTTTCTGACATTAGTGAGCTTGAGCTTCCCTTGAATAACCTACCTCATCATTTTCTGTCTGTCCGGAACGCCTTTTTGTTTCCCTCTATTTTCTGTTTCCGTTTTAGTCATCTTCTTCCTTTCTTGGAATTCCAGTGATCACCTCGTATTACTGGTATTTAAAGCTATTTTTTTTCTATTATGATTCCAGACATCACTGACTTCTGGGGTTCCCAGTATTAATCATGATAGTGTTACACACACAAAAAAAAAATCCCCATTGGTGCATTTGTCTGGCCATTGTGCACCCTTTAAAAGCATCTGTCAGAGGAAATTCTTTCTTTTATAAATGGACTTCAAGCCATCAGTTGATTATCTTAGCTTAGCATAAAGTCTGGAAATATGGAAACAGCTATCCAAACTTAAACAAATCACATGCCACCACCTTTTACTTTTATTAATTAACATGTTTTATCTTGTTTGGTTAATCTGTACAGATTCAGAAATGTTAAAATGGCACATTGTGGGTTTATATATTTTTAAACTTTGAACAGAGCAAATTTTGAACATTTTCCCCCTTGCTTCCAGTCTTTCTGCTAATCACCTCCTAGTTTTAGCATTATATTTATTATACAAAAATAAGTATAATATCAATAATTTTATCTAGTTCTTGGTTAAAAACAGTATAAATGTATTTTCTGGCAGTGTTGAATTCTTCCTTTATAAATAACTCATACACCCTAGAGAGATGATTAGTTTTGAAGTGTGTCTGATGTGTCTGCCAGGCACAGTTATTAAGGTAAACAACTAACAAAGTCCTTGTAGCACAGATGGTGTTTGTGACAAAATTTTTTGGCTCCAACACATCATATCCCCAGTCATCAAAACAGGCAAACTTCCACACCACTTTTCACCTAATTGGGAGAACACTTCAGTGAAGTCAGCTACCGTTTGCTCCTGTGACCTGTGCTACTTTTGTTATTTTTACAGTATACCCGGCAGCTATGCTCTACTCTGGTGCTTTGACAGATGTAATGGAGCTCCATTCACCTCAGTAACAGCTCATGACTCATGTTTGTTTGTCTGTTAGTTGATCCTGGTCTTGTAGTGAGTCTGCCTCATCCCACTTTTATGCCATGCTTCCACACATTATATGAGTCTCTGTGTTTGTGCAAGGTCAAATTCCTGGCCTCCCCCATCAGTCTGCACCAAGAGGCAACCTTCGAAGCTGAGAAATGAAGCCAGTGCCCAACTCTACAGCAGAGATAAACATGTTTACAACCTGGTGCAAACAATGGTTTTGGTCTCTTTAGTGAAGTTCACCTTCCATTACAACTGTACTGGGGGTGAGGTTTTTTTTTTATTAACTTTTAAAATGGCACCGATGGATGTCACACAAGCTCTCATAAACATGCAACTACCTGGAGATTATGACCATTCAAGGAAATCCTTAAACTCTCATATAAAACTTTACATTGTTAGAAAAAATCTTGTGAGCGAGAGTTTGCAAGACTTGTATAAACTGAGTTACTTCTGCATAGAAGTGCTCGAACATACGTACACCTCATTTTTTGAGCTTTAGGTCACGTTTAACTTTATAATTCACCGTTAACATAAGGTAACGTCAGATAAGGTAAGGTAAGGTGAGATTTTATTGATCCCACAATGCGGAAATTCCAGTGTTCCAGCATTAGATAAATCAAAAAACAGGGAAAAGCATGCCATGGACACTTTTCCTTGTAAATATTTACTAATTACTATAAAGTGTAAAAGCTTTGACACATTGGAGGTTGTGAACTAAAATATACTCAGACTTTATCTTGAATGACCTTGAACTCCAAAAATATATTTTATTAGACTGGAAAAGGGAAATTTTGAGAAAAAACTGATTTCTTGTTTTTGTTTTGTACCTTTGATTGTCTTCTGTTAAACCTCCCAAACTCTGAACAGGAAACCTGTGGATGAAGGGGAATTTACAACAGGAAGTCAGCTTGCTGAACAAAAAGCCTCACTTATACAAAAGAAAGAGTTCTTAGGA